CGACCCCGGGTCCCGCCTCCCCGAGGTTTTCGCTTTCGCTTTCCCGCTGATGTCGTTGGGGAAAATTAAGCTGCCGAGGCCAGGCTGGCGCAGAGGCCGTTCCCGGCGAGGGGCGCAGAGCACGGCGGCGGCGGCGGACGGCCTGGAACCCGGGTCCCGCTGCCCGCGCGGGGCGAGGTAAGCACAGCCCCTTCGCGGCCGCCTCACGGGCTCCTCCTTGCGGACCCGGCGGGCCCGGCGCCAGGCGGCGGTTGGTCGAGGGCCGGGATGGGGGCTCCCGGGGTGGGTCCGGGAGGGTCGGAGGCGCGGCACTGCTGGGGGCTTCGTGGCCTAGAACCTCCGGGCGGTGCTGAAGACCTGGGAGGCCTCAGACGAGGATCTGGCAGTCTGGGGTCAAGGTGGGACAGTGGCAAGTCAGACCCCCTGAGCTCACATTTCCTTTGTTAGCACACAGACCTTGCTGGGGTTTAACATTAAAGTGGGAGGGCGCATATAAAGTACTTAACAGAGTGCTTCACCTGAACTCAGCAAAGAGCATCCCATCTACCTGTCACATTCAGCTGCAGCTCACATGTATTTCTGCCTTTCTTGGTTTCCCAGATAGAAAACAAGAGAGCAGCCAGGCCAGGATTCGTCCCCATTCCCACTGCCCATATGAAGTCAGGGAGCCCCAACCCCAGGGCTGGCATAGATGGTCAGAGATGAGTGCACCCAGAGTCTGAGCCCCTCCCCAGACCAGGGAAAGATCTGCCCACTGCAGCCCAGCAAAAGTGTGACGGATAAGGACTGCCTGGGCTTTGCCCTTGGCCAGGTACACACAACTCATTTGTGAATTGGGGTCCATCCCAGGTTTGTGAAGACAAAGTTTACCCTTTAGAGTGCTCCCCATTCCTTGGCAAGTTACCCACAGGTCAGGTCTTGTAGGACAAGAATAGAAGGCACTAAGTGCTAAAAATAAAATAAATATTTAGGCTTTTTGATATATTAGAGTGATGACAGTTTTTGTGTGCCAATACCAAGAACCACCCCCCACACACATACTCAACTTCTGTCCCAATAAAAATGAATTTACCTGGCTCAGCCTTGGATGCAGTGGCACTCACCTGTAAATCCCAGGACTCAGGAGGCTGAGGCAGGAGGACTGGAAGTTCTAGACAAACCTCAGCAACTTAGGCCCTAAGTAACTTAGCCAGACCCTGTCTCAAAAAGGGCTGGGGATGTAGCTAACTAATAATGTGACCAGTACCAAAAAAAAAAAAAAAAAAACCATGATCAAAGACCCTTTTCTGAAACAGAAGATGATCCATGGTCCTAATTTGTAAAAACAGGGGGTCCCCACTCTGCCCCATGAGCCAGAAAATTAGGTTTTGTCTCTAGTTTTGTGGCTTGCTATCAATGAGGTATCCCTTGTCTCCTGTACTCTCTTCTGTCTCCCTCCTTTTAACTGAATTTAAAGTGTAATGGATGGTTGTTTCTCTTTCTTGATTTCTGTGGGGGTGAGAGGGTGGGAGGAACAGGTGGTGTCCTGGACAGCATCCACATTTTACCACCCCAGGTTCTTGCTTCCATCTTCCTAAAGACTGAATGACTGGGCTGAAGACCAAACCCATTTTCCCACCCATCTTCTTTTCTCCATAGCTCCCTTATTCATTGATTTAGTTAGTCACCAGAATGTGCTGTAGTTTACTTTTATGATTTTCTGTTAGGAAATAATAATGTGTGGGATTCTACTTATTTTCCTTAGGTTCTCAGACCCAGAGAATTGAATTGCCACATTCCTCAGTTTATAGCGTACAATAATCCTTGAACTGTTTAGAACCCTTCTTTCCTTTTGTTTTATTTTATTATTTTCCTCCTTTATCCTCCATCTCTCTCCCAACACCTCCTCCTCCATCTTAGGCAGCCACACTAAATGGGCATATTTGCTATTTGTCCTCCCAAACCTTTCATTATACATGCTTTAGAAGTATGTGTATCTTTGAAAAATGAGTTATGTTTTGCTTGGTTGTTATGCTTACCTGAATAAACACCATTGTGCTATAAATTGCATTTTTCCCCCTTAGCATTATGCATTTGGTCAATTCATTTCACTGTATTTAAATCTAGTTGTTTCCTCCTGTTGTTATAAGAGATTCTCTTGGATGTATGTATGTGTGTCTGGAAGGAAAGAAACGTGGATGGGTGGATGGTCAGACAAATAAGGCAGATATGACATAGCTGATTTCTAGGATGCTTGCATGTTGCCTTACTAAAACTTGCCACTTTGTGCTGCTGAATGGCTTCAGCAATTTCCTCCCACCAGCAGTGCATGAAGAGTCCCTTTTCCAACATTTGCCTGTATTTACTATTATCTCATTTACTCATTTTTTAAATCTGGTATGTTACATTTCTCCTTTTTTGTTTTAATTGAGCATCTCTTCATATCATTTTTTCCTTTAGTGAATTGCCTGTTTATCTTATTTGTGCTTCTTTGCTTTTAGGTTTCTGATGTTTTTCTACCTGGTTTGCATTTTGTATATTAATATCTTTGTGTATTAAAATGGTAGTCCTCTGTCAGACATAGGTGGTTAAGTCTTCTCCTCATCTTGTCATCCATTAGCTTCATTTTAGTCTCCCTTTTATTATTATCACTATTAATAGTTTTACTAAGATGTAATTTATATACCACAAATTCACCTCTTTATAGTTTATGGTGATTCACTGGTTTTTATTCTGGTATTTACAGATGTATGTAACCATCACCATCATCTGACTTTAAAACATTTTTCATTACTCCAAAAAGTAACCCTGTACCCATTAGCAGTCACTGTCCAATGTTCCTCAGTATCTCCCTCCCCAGCTCCATGTAGCTATTACTGTCCTTTCTGTCTATATAGATTTACATATTTCTGGTAATTTCCTATAATTATACAATGTGTGGCTATTGTGACTGGCTTCTGTCACTTAGCTGTATGGTTTTGAGGTTCATTTACATCATAACATGTATTAGTTTATTCCTTTCTATTACCCAATAATATTTCATCATCTGGATATATTACATTTTGTTTATCCATCCATTAGTTCAATAAGGCCATTCCTTATTGAACATTTGGGTTGCCTCTACTTTTTGGCTGCTCTGAATATTCACTTACAAGTATTCTGTGGACATTTACTTTCTTCTTTCTTTTATCTTTTATACTCCAGGAATCTTTTGTTACTGTTGTTTTTACCCTATTATGCCATGAATTCATAGGGAACAGGTTCCAGCAGCTCGGCCTCCTTACCATGGGTTCTCTCGAATTGTGCTTCTCTGGGCTGAGCATGCTGGTGCTTCAGTTGAACCCAGGCACTTTTCTCTTCAACTTCCTCTCCAAGTTTTGAGAAGCTATAATGGCTCGTAGGCTGCTTAACAGGCTCAGTGTGCACATTAATTCTCTAGATGGCAAGAATCTCACCTTTAACTTGTTTTGTTTGTTTGTTTGTGATATTTGTGGGCCATTCCTTATTGAACAGTACCCATTCCTCTGATGTCTATAATTTCACCTTTCTTGTAGATTCGCCTGTATATGGCCAAAGGAATAACCCCATGTTTTCTGTAAGGCCTAGAAAACATTTATGGGGTACCCCTCCTCTTTTCTTTGTGTTCATCATTTTGAGGAATTACTGACAGTTTCTATTGAAAGCCTCTGTTTTTATTTCTCTTGGGTATTTACATAGAAGTGGAATTCTTGGGTCACATGGTACCTCTGTTTAAACTCTGAGGAAGTACTCACTCCAGCAGCACAGGTGCTAAATTTGGAACAATACCAAAAAGATTGGTGCGGTCCCTGTATAAGCATGATGCAGAAATTAGTGAAGTATTCTATACATGTACATGTTTTTTTGGTGGGGGTGTACTTGGGATTTAACCCAGGGGCAATTCACCACTGAGCTATGTGCCCAACCCTTTTAGTTTTTATTTTCAGACAGGGTCTCACTAAGTTTCTGAGGGCCTCACTAAGTTGCTGAGACTGGCCTCAAACTTGCAATCCTCCTGTCTCAGCCTCCCAAGTCACTGGGATTATTGGCATGTGCCACTGTGCCCAATGTGTTCCATATGTATTAAAACATAAAAATAAAGTCTGAGAAACTTCCAGATGATTGTTTTCTAGAGCAGCTACACCATGGAACAATTGTACCACCAGTACATGAGAGCTTTTGTTTCTCCACATTCTCACTAGCAATGGTTATTGGCTGTCTTTCTTATTATAGCCATCCCAGTAGATGTGAAGTTGTGGCTCACGATTGTTTTTGTTTTGTTTTTTTGTGTGTGTGTGCGTGTGTGTGCTTCCCTGATGGCTAATTATGTTGAGTCTTTTAATGCACTTATTAGCAGTTTGTATGTTTTCTTTGCAGAAATTTCTATTCAGGTCCACTTTTAAAAATGGATTGTCTTTTTATTAAGTTATAAGAGTTCTTCATATCTTTTATCATATATATGAATTACCAATCCTCACCTAACTCAAAGTTAGGCCTGTGAATCCAACAGCTTTATACTTTAAACTCTTACATTTAAGTCTGTGATCCACTTATTAAAAAAAAAAAACAGAAATCTGTATATGCTATCATTTGCCCCCATTTAGCTCTTTCTATTTGTGTCTTATTAATAAATCCTTACCTGACTAATGATCATAAAAAGTTTTTTCTATATTTTCTTCTACTAACTTTGTTTTCTTCCACATTTAAATTTTAATCCAATTGGATTTTGTTTTTATGACAATTCCTTTGTAATATGCTTTTACTTTTTGTTATTCTTCCATTTTTTTTTAGCTTATTACTTCTGTTCTTCCA